AAATGTGGATTGTAGAATTTGATCCCTTATTTGAGTAACATATATCCGTAGTTATGAGCAATTGGACTCTGATAAGGCTGTCATCGTTGTCGTTGGTGTAAAACATCTGTTATTTTGTCTCCAGGATAGCTTTGATGATGTTTTAGACATTAAGTGATGTTTCTGGTACTTATTTTTGTTTCTTTCTTTCAAATAGAATAAGTGACCTGAGGGTGGTTGATCTGTTGGATGGGCTGTGTGATAGAATGCTGGATTATACTCTACAAAAGGTAAACTGATTTCTTGAAGAATTCTTATTATGCTGGTGTTTCACTAGTAAATTTTCAAGATATTTACTATTCTTTGATCTTCGAAAATTGATCAGTCTGATTCTTATTGCCACACTTGCAGCAGGTGGAATTAAAGAACACAGAATGGGTCAAAGTGGAAAATTTTGACAATTTAACTGGTAACGTGTGCTTTCCCTATAAATTTGCCTTGGTGATATGCATTTGTGCATCACGTATTTAGCCTTAGGCTTGTGTCTAGTTGCCTCGATACTTATGTAATTTGATAAAATAAGCTTAGGGACCTCCTGTAATGAGTTAAAAGGAAATAATTATTGGTCTGTAGCGTATCCACTTGTCTATTAGAACACATCTGTTTGAAATTTCTGAGCAACTAAATAACTGTGAGAGTGCATTCCTGATGATATGAACTCTGGAATTTGTGTTGCGGCTGTGAAATCATCATCTCTACTTGTTTGGGATTTAATGTTCCTGTGTTTGTCATGTCATAGATAAACAGGAAGCTAAAGCGCATGCAAATGACATATCAACTTATTGTGGAAGGTATGAGAACTAAGAATCTCCTCAATTCCGTTATAGGGGTCTCAGTATCTTGTTCCAGCTTAAAATTCATCAAAATATTCTAAAATGTATATGTGCTTTCTTAACACAGATTGCTGGAGGAAATTGAAGATAAGGTAAACCTTCTGGTAACCTTTCTCTTAAATGACGGTTAGAGTCAGACCAAGTTTGGTTGATGTTGTTCTAAGATTGCAGCTCGCTGAGGTGATAAAAAATGGGTCCCTAAAAGTAGGGGAGGTACGCAAGGTTCTGTGTCAAACTTTAAGCAACAAGTGCAGCAAAACTAGGTTAGTATTATAGTTTATTTCCGTATTTTCATCAGCTTCGAATTCATGATTAACTCTGTGGTCTTTTCATCTACTAGAAATCTGATATGGTTCCGTATTTTCCTTTCTGAATTCAGTGAAACAGAATCA